ACCGAGTGGCAGGTCGCGGGGCGCAGGGCATCGGATGCGCAACGCCGGCGGTCTGTCATCACGATCGCCTGGCGAGCTGACGGCAGAGCCAGAGGGCTCACTCACATCGCTGGCCGTGTCCTCGCTGCCGCCGGGGCACGGCAGGCCCACGGCGTCGGACCGGCCAGCGCTGCGTGGCGTGCGCGCGGAGCCACGGCGGCCCACGCTGTAGGCGTCGAAGTCGATGGTCTTGTTCTCGTAGGCGCCCTCCACAGCGGCGAACATGCCGCCGTACTTCTGGCGCGGGGTCTGCGCTGCGCTGCCCGGCCGCGCCAGGTACACCGGCAGGTCGTCCTCGGTGTTCCACGCGCGCCGCCGTTCCGCCATCCCCGTCCTCGCCGGGCAGCCCTTGCCACCTCTGGCTCCGCGCTGCGCGCCTCGGTGCGGGCCCGCGGCGGCCCAAGCGCGACTGCGGTGAGCCAGGGAGGGAGGGAGGAAGGACTGGGGCGTGGCCCACGAGGGGCGGGGTCTGGGCGGGGCGGGGGCGGGGCCTGCAGTGACCGAGGCCGCCGCCACCGCCAGCTACAAAGGACCGCGGGGGCGGGGACCGCGGCCGGGGCGGGGAGGGTGGTGACGTTCTGGAGCCGCAGCGCCGAGGGCGGGCGGCCGAGCCGCAGTGCCCTCCACACACCCGGCTCTCCGCCTCCTAGAGGAGCGCTGGGCGCGGACAGAGACGGGGTAGGGGCAATGCGCGCGCGCGCACACCACACACACACACACACACACACACACACACACACACACACACACACACACTCAGTGAAGCTTCACATCACACGGGAGAGTTGCACAGGCATGCTGGTACATACCCAAGTCAGATACCTTGGCACTCCTTCCAGACAGCAGCACACCATGGACACACACACACACACACACACACACACACACACACACACACACACACACACCAGAGATTCTCACTGTCAGGTAACCCCACACATCACAAAAATCAGAAGTTAAATGAACTTAAATGCACAGTCAGAGGCATACACATCCAGCTCCCCATTGGTTCACTCAACACTACTACACTGATTGCCTAATAGGGTCTGGTACTAGTAGCGCGGAGGACTAGGCTAACAGTATAATGAAATCCCTGTTCTCAAAGGCCGACCTTCTGAGGGGAAATGATACAAGAATGTAGCCTGCAGAACTCAGGAACATAGGCCCCTACTGCACAGCAAGGGGGCCATGTTAGTATTAACTCCCAGATGCTTGTACATGAACCGATGACCCACCCGCATGCTGGGTGCACACTCCAACAACACCTCGGGATGGAGAATTTCCACACATTTCTAAAGGCAAATTCACAAAGCTCCTCCACACATACTGGCCTGTAGACTGCTGGCAGGGAACCCACACACATCCCTACCAGACATAAGGGAAGTGGGAAGAACTCTCAAACAGAAACGCTTTAGAAGCAGACACCCAGGGACAGACACACACAGAGCAAGCAATCATCCAGACAGACAACAGCCTCCATCTATGAGTACCTCCTGCATCCTGAGTACAGTCCACTCTAGCTATGCCTGGAGCTCGATGCCTGGAGATTTAGGAGCTTTTCTAACCAGGCAGAAGTGGGAAGACTTGTGGTTTCCCTTCTTAGAGGCCAGGCAACAGTCACAGTCCCCTCATTTATTTGTGACTTTCTAGTCCCTGAGGACCTAGGAATCTCAGCTGTCCTTTTTGGATGGAAGGCTCGCAAGCTGCCAGCCCCCTAGGCAGACAAGTCCAAACTGGCAGTCAGGATTGGTAGGAAGCGGTAGGAAGCCTGATTCAGCAGCTGTCCTTTCGTTGGCTTCCCTGAGCAGGGAGCTGTCCCTTCAGCACCACACCAAAGGTCACAGAACTCTGAACAACCTTGGCGAACCCTGGATGGACTGGACAATGAACATGACTGTTGAGATAACGACCTCTATCACATAGGGTCTACATCGGCTGACAACTCATGCCTCCTTTGAAACCTGGAGCAAGCTAGTCTGGGCTGCAAGTAGCGCCCTTCAGTTGTGGGATTAAGGAACCAGGAGAAGCAAACAGCTGCCTGCCCAGTCCATTTCATGTGGCTGCTCGTCTGCCTGGGACTTCATGACCATCCGAGGTCAGTGGGCAGTTGGAAAGTTCCTTCCTTCCTCCCCTCACCCATACTTGACAGGGACTAATGCTGGGGACACAGGAAAGTATCTATAAAGCCCTTGCCCTCAATAAGTGTCTATTCTACAGTCAATATTTTGGGGGACACAGTCCCTCTAGATTTACCAATAGTAATGGAAATCTTATTGTTTTGTAGGGAAATCTCAGGCCTGGAGTGATGGTGTAGAAACTAAAAGCACCTGTCACCTTGCAGAGGACCTAGTTGGGTTCTCAGCACCCATGTCAGGTGGCTCAAAACTGCCTGTAACTACAGCTCTGGGAGATCCTACGCCATCCATTTCTCTGGTTTCTGTGGGCACCTGCAACACACAGACACACACACATGCACACATACCACACATCACACAAACACATACACATAAGTGAAAAAATAAAATAAATCTCTTAAAGGGAAGAAAGGAAGGGGCTGGAGAGAGGACTCGGCAGTTAAGAACTCTTACTACTCTTGCTTGCTCCTAACACTGACACGGAAGCTCACAAGCGTCTGTACCTCCAGTTCCAGGGGACATGACACCCTCTTTTGGCCTCTGTGCTAAGGTGCATGTGCTGCACATAAACTCATGACAATTCACACACATACAAATAAATAGATTTTTAAGAAAGAAAAAGAAAGCTCTTTTCTCATTTCTTCACAAGAAAGAGCCAGCCCAATTTGTGGAGCTAGAGGGTGTGATGGGAGGAAGCACTAAGTTTAGGCAGAAGCAAGGAAAATCAGCTTCCACTTACCAAGTGTTTACCACCTGCCTGGGGCACCCTACCAACAAGAATGCTCTGTGCGCCCACCACCCCACCCCCAACCCCCGCAAGCCTGAAGATACTATTTTAGCCTCATTTTCCAGATTAGGAAAATGTGGCTGAGAGATTAAATCCTTTGCCTAGAGGCGCAGATGGCAAGGAGACGGTTGGGATGTTAAAACATAGTCTCCTGCTGAGGCTGCATTCTAACCATCAGCCCTTGCTCTCCCCAAAATGCCTGACTGGGGAGAGGAGAGAGAAAAGAATGAGGGAAGTACAGTCAGAAGAGCATGGACATGGAGGTTAGACTTGTCCTCAGTGTAACCTTGGGCAGTGGTCACCCAGCACAGCTTTGGGGCACCACTGTGTGGTCACTGTCTGGGCCAGTCACCTCTCCTCCCTCCCTTGCAGAGGGGAACATCCAGTACTCCCATCGTTCATTCTTTGTGTGCTGGTGAATGCTCTACCGTACCCACCATTGGCTCCTCAGCCATGCCAGTGGCAATCTTGCCACCTCCACCTTCAGGCTGTTGTGCTTAGGAGGCCACACTGTAAACCTACCACCCATGTTCTCCAAGTAGGAAAGAGGTTGAGACACCCTCTAGTCAGACTTGTTAGAGGCCCTCCCACAGCATCTCTTCAATCAAAGCCAGTAAGGTAAGTGGAGCAGAGAATCAGAGGCAGAAAACAGAGGCAGGAACTGAACTAAAAATGTACCAGTAGATGTCAGGGAGCCAGAGACAGTGGCTGGCAGATGGCCACAGACATCCAGGATACTGGATCAAGCCTATCCTGTAGTAGACAGCTGTGACCTCTCCGTCCTCCAAAGAAAAAGTTGTCCTTAATTTACTACACCATAAATGTGAGAAGACTCAACCTTGAGCTCACTCTGGAGTCTGTGAAGCCTTCCAGGGCACTAGCAGAGAGGGATACTTCAAGAGTGTAGCAGAGGGAACAAGCCCAACTCCAAATATTTTGTTTACACAAAACAAATACAAAAAGTACAATTTATCAAAGGAATATTTTGTTGGGCATAGTAGCACACACCTTTAATCCCAGCACTAGAGAGGCAGGAAACATTTGGGTCTCTGTGAGTTTGAGGCCATCCTGGTCTACACATGTTTCAGGCCAGCCAGAACTACACAGTAAGACCCTGTTTGGGGAGGGAAAAAGAATATTTTCAGAAAATGGAATTACAATTTGTTGTCAGAGGCATATAGTAAGTCTTCTAGACAAAGTCATGTGCTCATCTGAGACAATGAGATGTTCAGAATGGGTGGGGGAGCTTCCTGTGGTGTGTCAGAGACATGCAGCCAGGCCAGTGTGAGTCACAGATCCAGAGTACTGAATGCCCTCTCTTTCTGCTGCCCCCACCCAGAAAACATAGCATAGAAGAAAGCTGCTCAGTGATGCTCAATCTCTGGGACCTGTGTGCTAACCCACATGCCAAATGAGGATGTGGGGTGTGCTTAAAAAAAGATCTGGAGATGGAGAGAATGTGGTAGAATATCTGGGTGGCGCCATCCAAGTGGAAATATGAACAAGAGAATGAGGGACAAAATGAGATGGTAAAATAACAACCGAAGCAGAGAGTTCAAGCTACAGTCCTACCCTTGAAGATGCATGAGGAACCACAAGCCAAGCCAGGCAAGCACACTCTAGATGCAGGAAAGGAAAAGATGTATTCTTCTCTGGGAGCCGAAAGAAATGCATTCTGCCAACACATTGATGTTGAGACCCACTTCAGACTCTGGCTGCCAGAACTAGAAAATCAGTGAGTGTTGTGGGGTGGGACCTCACACCTAAAATCTCAGCACTCGGGAGGTAGAGGCAGGAGGACTTCGAGTCTATAAATAAATGAAGAGGTGTTGGCTTTTGCCCGTAGTCTCTTGGCAATAAGAAATTAACATGGTAGAAAGGTATTACCCCATTGTTCGTACTGAGTAGATTGGATTCACAAGAAAATAGTTTATTCCCCACCAGAAACGGAGAGTCCTGAACTCACTGTCTTCTTATATTAGACCAGGCCTTAAGTAACGAACCCATCACCAAATACTAAAAGGAAAAAAAAACTCTAATTACGAAAAAAGCATGTTTTAATGTACAAAATTACACAAAGTATATATACATTTCACTAACATAGAAAAATACTTCTGGGTAACAAGAGAATATCCTGCTCTAATTTACACAAGACAGAATTGTCATTAGAAATCCTGATGGGGCAACTTAGCCTGAGTCACACAGGTCTGAGTGGTGATGGGAAGGGCTGACAAACAGCAATCATTCTGTTCACCACACTGCAGGCAGGGTGCTATGGGACAGCCACTGCCAATCACTCAGTGAGCGTCCTGCTGGATAACACCCAACAGGAAAGGGCTCTATATGTCACTGGACCACACCCCTGTGGAACAGAGTGGCTCACTGGTAGAGGGACATGATGGGCCTGCCAAAATTTTTACCTTGGATTTGGTAAGCTGGCTATGGAAGAGTCCTTTTAGATTCCAGCAGTGGGCTGTAAGGTTATTGTGTGCCTGCGACCTAGTTGGAACGCGCACAATCTCCCAAGTGCTATTGCGCTTCACAGCTGTTCTGTGATTTCTGCTCCCTCCCAGTTCTCGCCCCAAAGGACTGAGAAGGCCAGGGGCTCTCTTCAGCACCACAACCAATGATTCCTACCTGCTTCTCTCATGGGCCATGAAAAGCTGACTGTGAAAAACCTAAGCTTTAGTCCCCAGGTCAAGGGGTTAGCCTGTGCTCTGACTTGCTCAAGGTGTCTCCAGATAGCTCGCTTTCAGGGGAGTGACAGAAGTCCCTGGCATCCATCAACATTCTTTGTGTGTTTTCAGAAATATACAATAACCCCCACATCCTCACACTGTTGCCCTGGAGAGGCTGAGAGAGCCAGTCTGAACTTGCACAGCTGGTTGGTGGCCCTGCCAGAGTTCAAGCCCAGGTGTGCATCTGGCCCCTCATTTACCTTCCTACCTCTTCTGGCCTTGTGCTTGCCCCAGTGAAGACTCTAAGTAAGAATTATACTTGACCTAGCTTCCACTTCCACCCACACCTCCAAAGTCATATTTACAAACACTGCATTATATTATCTCAGGCAGAAATGAAAATGATACAGAATTGAAATCAAGTTTTCAGCCATGTTTGACGATCTCATTCTTTCTTCACTTCCCTTTTGCTCAGCACATAAAGACACCATCAGGCCACCCTTTGTCATAGAAGCAACCACCAAAATAAAAATAAAAATAAAAAACAACTATGCTTTTGAAGAAAGCCTTATTCTTGTGGCTGGGTTCAGTCTTTCCATGATGCCAAAGTCAGATTGTGGTGCGTCCAGGATTTATGGAATCAGAGCATGAATGAAGATCAGATGAAACAAAGAAAATTCTGCCCTTCAATCTCACGGTGCATTGACTTAGTCCAAACAGCTTTGGGGTCAAGGTATGAGTGAATTTTTTCATTAAATGAAGAAGGAAGCTAAATATGTCATCAAACTCCTGGGATTCCCCCCTCTCTGCCTCTATAAGGCACCAGAGAATCTCAACGTATTTATGCCAACGCCGAGCAAGGGTACACTTGGCCGGCGGCACCAATGCAGGAGAGAAATCTGCTCTGTTTATTGAGCAATTGGTAGATTTGCCTCTCACGCTACTTCTAGCCCAGAAGAAATCAGGATGCAAAGAAGTGGCCAGAGGTACATTTCATCCCCTGGATTTTCAGATAGTTCTGCAGCGATTGGCCACCAAGACCCCATTATCAGGGCTTGTCACAGGGAAGTGAAGGCCATCTCTCTCTCTGTGTTCTGGCTTCAGAAGGAGCCTCAACAGTCAAGTTACCAAACTGCCTTGTGGTCACAAATATTCCAAAGATGGGAACTCCCTACCTGCACAGTTCTTTCCCAGTGGAGAGTAAAAAATCAATACAATTGAGCCCAGGAGAAGCCCACAGCGTCATCTGGGAACTTAGTGCAGGAAAGGACGGGGGGAAGAGACTTTGGGTCCACTGTCTGAAAATGGATAGTTATCTCCCCAGCTGCCTCTCTCAGTTTCACCTTCTAGACCCTCCACTTGGAAACAAACACAAGCCATGATCTCTTTCAAGCAGCTCAGAGCTTAAAGGAGAAACAGGCCCTGAAATGAAAACCTCACTCAACTCGCTGCTGAGCAAAGGGAGCACAGGGCACTCTTGTGTGAGACCTGGGTCCCCATCCTCTGCAGTGATGAGGGAACTAGACTCACAGATGAATCTCATCACAAAATGGTCCATGAACATTTTGATAAGACAGTTTCACATAGCCCAAGCTAGCCTTGAACTCTGGATCCTCCTATCTCCACCTCCCAAGTGCTAGGTGCAAGGATTACAGCATGTAACAACACACCCTGTTCAACTCATGGTTTTTCTGTTTTGTTTTTAAGTAGCTGTGTTTCTCAGGCTAGCCTCAAACTTGCTATGTAGCTGAAGGTAAGTTGAACTTATGGTCCTCCTGACCCCCACCTCGAATGCTGGAATCACAGTAGTTCACCAGCACAACCAGTGTATATGGTGCTGGGGATGGGACCCAGGGCACTCTACTAGCCGAGCTACATCTTCAGCCCCATGATTCATGAACTTCTGATCAGTTCTGCTGATCTGAACACTGGGGAGGTAGGGGGAGGCCAATTCAAACCTCAGTCATGCAAGTCCAGCCCAAAAGTAAGAGTTCCAAGCTATTTCAGGACTCCGGACTTCCCAAGGAGGATCCCACACATGAACTCCACAGAAAAGGAGGACTTGAACTCAGACTCAGTGTTAAATGATGCCATTCACATTGGAACCCACAAGAAAATGAATTGCATCCCCGGTCAGAAGCAGCTGCACTCTGGCACTGCTGGGTAGTAGTCCACAAGAGATCAGAACCGGTTTAGTCCTGTCTGGGGTCCCTTTGCCAATGGTGTCCCACTTTAAGTAGTCTGGGCTTCAGGGAGGAAGGGTGTTTATAGTGAGTCCTAAGTCTTTCTCCAGCTCCCACAGTGGATGCGCCTGGGTCTACCATCTCAATCCCTGCACCGCTGACCTGCTGGGAAAGGACAAGGACATGACCACCCTGAGCCTACCACCCATTTCAGGCTGCAGAGCTATCCGTCTCGGCTGCTGCCACACCTCCATCGTACCTATTTTAAGCATACTGCCTCGCAGTTCAGGGGAAAACGTTGCCATGCCAACTCTCTGGCTGTTGTTAGTCATAATCTATGAATGTGTAGTACAGCCATCTGACAGGCAATCCTTCTCAGTCCAGGGACATTTTCCAAATCATCTCGAGGCAGACAGATCATGCTTACAACGCACACAGTAGGTACACCATAAACGCATACCAAAGTAATGACCTGAACAAAGTGTCTGCACTGTGTTCTAGCCTGCAAAGTGCTTTCCCTACCCAGCCTGTTCATCGGTAACCCCCAGCAGATGCTGGTGTGGGTGGGTGTGTTAGAACCCAGACTGCCAGGTGAGGAAATGGGGTAGCATGTGTCTTCAGTGTCAGAGCTTCAGACTGCTCACTGCAGCCTTGTTGCTCTGGCTTTAAATCTCTTTTGTCCCTCCTCTGCCAGGTGGTCTCTGTCTTCTAGCTAGCACATGAAAGTCAAGCAGCACCAATCTGGTCTATTTCCACAGAATGAAAGTTGACAAAAGGCTTTTCCATCTGTGTCCCATCTCATCCAAAGCCCAAAGGGGAAGAGGCTTGGCTCTGCTGGGTCCATGTCTGACCTCAAAGGATCCCCCATGTGTGGTCCAAGGGTACCTCCAGTTAGGGGGTGACTCATATGTATCCATCCAGGCTTTGGAAAGGAGGAAGAAATAGCATCAGTGTTGAGCAGGAAGAGAGACCAGTGGGACACCAGAACAAGCAGACCACCAAGAACTTGGCCCAGGAAGACAAGAAGCCCCCCATCTAGCCATGGATGTAACTTGAAGGCAAAGCCAGGGAGAAGGACTATTCAAAAGGAGTATGTAGCAAAACCACCGAAGGCTGGCCGCAGTGGACTCCTGCTGCAGGAACCCAGGGTTAGCTTGGCTCTTCGTCAATGCTATTGGTTGGATGAATAAATAAAATGTGGAAAGCATTAAGTCACAGCATCAAGTGCCTGTGAGTTCTGGAGTGAACCAACAGGAACTGAAGGCCACCTGTACTGTGCACTCCTCCTTGTGGAAGAAGTATTGGGAGAACTGTATTTTAGAGAGAAGGTCTCATTGTGTAGCCCTGGCTGGTCTAGAACTCACTTCAGACTAACAGAGATCCACCTGCCTCTACCTCTCAAATGCCAGGATAAAGATATGTGCCACCATGCCTAGCACAGGCTTTGCTGATCTTGAACTATGAGCCAAGTACCGTCTAATTCTATCCTCTTGGTACTGAGAAGATTATGCAGATGACCAGGGGGATGCCCACTACAGGCTGGTTTGAAATCAGGTAGGCAAATTCAAAGCCAGGGTGCTCCCTAGACTTCATGGCTCTTTCTGGGGAAAATGATTGGGAGACTCAGATGTGGCCCCACTGACTGGAAAGCAACAAATATGGAGTACCTGATATAAGTCAAGTTCATTTCCCACAGGCCTCATGGGTCCTGGGAATAGACCTAGGGTGTACAAGCCTCCTTTCCCACTTTACAGCACAGGAGTCCCCATCCATGCACACCCAGCCTCCAGGCTGGGCCTGAGCTGTTATTAGCACTTTCCAAGTGCACTTCAGTCGCTAAACACTTCAACCTCTGTCTCTGCTCCTCCGGGCTGCAAGAGAAAGGACTCTTCATCCAGTTTTCCTTCACAAGACAGAATTGAGACTCAGGTAGCTCAGGGCTTTGCCCTGGGGGGATGGGCAGTATGGGGCCTAGTCTTTCCCAGGGAGCATGGTGGCATCACTCCCTGCCTGGGCCACAGACTGAGGCTCTGACCCTTTCTGATATCTACACTGCCACTAACATGTACAGTGATGAGGGACCACCACTGAATCACAGTAAGGTGGTGGCCAGCTGGCTTTTGAAGTGTGTTGAGAACAGTCTATTCCCAAGGCACCAGGACAGGTGCTTGCCACTGGAGAACAGCAGAGCAGCATCACACAGCTCCCATGGTGGTCAAGAAGACAAGGGGTTAGGGGAGCAAAGTGCCCAGATCCCACAGTTTCCTGGAAAACTCAAATGTCCTGACTTCCTAGGAAAAGTCTTGGGTTTTCAATGTTACTAATTCCAAATTTTTATACATATATATACATACATACATATATATATATATATGTATGTATGTATATCATGTCAGCATATCTGCGTGCTCACCTTCATAGCACCATCACTCACTACATTCAAAAGGTAGCAGAAATCCAAGTGTCACTGCTGGGTAAGAGGACAAACAATGTGGTCAATACGTGCAGTACTGGCTTTATAAAAGGCTGTTCTGATGCATAACTTAGCATGGACAGACTGACATGTCATATGGAACCCAAGAAGCTAGTCACAGGACACATATTACATGAGGTCCCTAGGGCAATCAGACAAGAGAGACATGTAGTCAGGGGAGAAATGGGGTTGTCAGGGTCTGGGAAAAGAGGAAAAGGAGCTAGTGTGTAACAGACATAGGGTTTCAGTTGAGATGACAGAAGAGCTCTGGAGACAGTAGAGGTGATGGCTGCAGAGCACTGAGTGTGTGGATGAGCAGTGAACCGGATGGTTGAGATGGTCAAGACACTAAGTTTATATTCTGTACCTTCCACCTAATCAAAAACACAAGGCACAAAGACGTGTTTTTGACCGGACCCTCCAAGGGTAGCCTGTGTGTCTGCTGTGAGCTCGATTCTCTGTTTGAGCACACAGGTTATGACACCTGTCTGTTACTCCTCCCTCACTGACCAAAGCCCAAGATACCCTTGCTGAATCTACCCATCTCCTACCATCTACTTGGATACACAGCAGCAAGGATAGGAAGATGCTCCTGGAGGATTATCCAAGCATAATCTTGGTTGTCCTGTTTCTTCTGGGAGTGCTTAGATACCTGTTGGATACCCATCTGCCAGAACGATGGAGCCAGCCCCATCACCCTTGAACTTGAAGGGAAATGCCCCACCCCCACAAGGAAGTGAAGTCCCTAGATGCTGTGGGATGGTCTGTATGTCAAATGTGTTGCTGATTGGTCAATGAATAAATCACTGATTGGCAGTGGCCAGGCAGGAAGTATAGGCGGGACTAACAGAGAGGAAAATTGAGAAAACAGGAAGCTGGGAGGGGAGACACTGCCAGCCGCCATCAGGACAAGGAAGATGTAAAGTACCGGTAAGCCACAAGCCACGTGGCAAGGTATAGATTAATAGAAATGGATTAATTTAAGCTGTAAGAACAGTTAGCAAGAAGCCTGCCACGGCCATACAGTTTGAAACCAATATATAAGTCTCTGTGTTTATTTGATCGGGTTTAAGCGGCTTGGGACTGGCGGGTGAGAGAGATTTGTCCTGACTGTGGGCCAGGCAGGAAAACTCTAGCAACACCTAGATGAGAACACAGAAACAGGACAAGGCATTGGTATGGATTGCTTGCTTGGGGTGCTGTGACTACCTAGGGGACAAGTGAAGGACACAGTTGTTAGAAGTGGCCTGTGTTTGGATAAGCAGCTCTCTTCCCTCCTCCTGAAGGCAGGGAGGCTACCTAGAGTCTTCCCAGTAGCCAGAGCCTGCTCCTTGGGAGAAACCAGCAACAGGAGCTCATAACCAGGAGGGACTGAGCCATGATGCCAGGATGGACTGCAGACTGGGCACTGTTACAGCTGCCCGTGAACTGGAAAGCCTGTGGGTGCATCCACTACACAAGTGAGGACCCAAGGCTCCTGGAGGCCAAGGAATAGTCTAAGGGTCACCAGCAAGGTAGGACCAGAGTCAGATGTCTGGATTCCCTGTGGAGTTCTCTCCTTACTAGACTAGGGTGCTTGATACTGAGTCTGTTTCCTTTGAGAACCTGATGACAGCTGGGGGTCTCTCCCTAGACAATTCCCAGGATGGGCGAGACCTCCACTCAGCCTGGGACTCTGCAGAACCTCCATGATGTCCAGATCATCACCAAAGTCACCTTACAACCATCCCCTGCAGGCTTTGTCACCCACGGCAGGTGGAAGAGACATCGTGATACTGTGTGTGCTTCGAGGCAGCATGTCCTGAATGACGTCAGGGAGGTGAGCAGAAGATAGTTCACAAACACCAAGTTGCTCCGAAACATGAGCCACCATCCTGAAGTATCAGGATGATTTGCCAGCTTTAGTACCATCACACATGACTGTCAGATAGACAGAAAGACTCCCAAACAGGCTAAGAAGGAGACATCCAAAAAATTAAGTCATTTGTGCAAGTGACACAGCCAGCCTGGAAACCCCAAAGCCCAGGATCCTGCCATTGCTCCATGGCAATTCTGAGGGCTTCCGGGGCTCTCACTGGTCTTGTGCAGAGAGAAACATCCCCTCACGATGACTGGGGTAGGGGTGGTGACGCGGCTTGTAACTCAGCTCTTGAAAGGACCGTACATCACAGGGCCACCTCTGTTCCACTGGTCATCTGGGACAGCCGTTCATCTTTTCCAGCGTGATGTGCCTGATGGTGCTGTCTTCTTTCCTGCAACAGGGAAAGCAGGAGGATGAGTCTCTGAAGGGAGCAGGGCACCCATATGGCTACACAGAGAACTGTCCAGACGGGCCAGCCTTCGGGTTGCTGAGGGCTTGCCCTGTATCTCCACGTGCACAGGGCCTGCAGGACAACTCTCCAGCTGCTCCCTCTAGGAAAAGAAGCTGCTTAGTGTTTCCAGAGAGCAGCCTCTTTATTGGGGTGTCTGTGAGCCAGGGGTGCCATATGGAAGTGTCACGTGACCAAGTCTGGTGCACACAGGCTTTCTAGTGTTCATGAGGCCTTCACAGAGGCCAATGGCCCAAAGAAGGTTCGGGAACTGACCGAAGGAAGCGAGAAACAGGGTCTTAGGGATGTGTTTACTGTTTTGTCAGCCGAGTTAGCAGACCCTAGCCTCTGCCAGGCCTGGTGCCAGACTCAGAAGTTACAGACTGCCCTGTGACAGTTCCAGTGAGCTGGAGGGAACAGAGAGAAGTGTGCACATCTCAGCTGTAACTGAAGCAGGACAGTTACTGCCGGTGCCAGGAAGGAACCATGGAGGTAGCAGAGCAGGAACGTGAATGAGAGGAGACTGCCAGGCAGCCTGTGCAAGGGTCTTGTGGAGAGAAGCCGGTATGGTGAGAACAGAGAACAGAGGGGCTGTGTGGCACGAGGAGGGAGGGGGAGCCCCAGCACAGACCAGGACATGATGAGGATTCAGAAAGGAAGGAGAAATAAGAGAGGAAGCTGTGGGGCTGGAGGAATGCCTGAAGATGCTGATATCTGAGCAGGATATCAGAGACCTATAGGATAGAGGCCTTTCTAGGCAGAGCACACACAAGAGGCGGGAGACAGTGAGAACTGTGTGGGTTTGGGGAAATGCAGGCTGGAGAGTCAGCTTGCCAAGAGGAGCCCCACAGGGAAGCTGCCAGAGTCACTCAAATATCTGGGCAGTGTGACAGCCCAGAGGGAGATCCTTGAAAAGCGACACCCTACCAGAGCACAGCATCCCTGTGCAGTTCCGCGGCCAGCCCCACAGCTGATGTCAGCGAGGCCAGCTTTGCTGTGATGCTGAGGGTCTATGGAGTTGTACAGCAGGAGCACATACTCTGTGGCTGCGTCACTCACAAGACTGTGACATTCCCAGCATCATCCTCAGTGTCCCAGTGCTGTCGTGAAGATCTCACTGGTGTGTGTGTGTGTGTGTGTGTGTGTGTGTGTGTGTGTGTGTGTGTGTGTGTGTGTGTATGTGTGTAGGTGGTTTTAGACTGCTTTGCTTTTCAAAATGTATTTATAGCTTTCTTTCTGTGCGCTATATCACATGCTGGGGGTGGGGAGTGAGACAAAAATAAACCCAGTGCAAATCCTTGACCTTGTAAGATCTCTGGGGCCAGAATTCTCTTCCCATCAGAGTCTCTGGGGAACTTCAGAAGTGTTCAGGTCCTAGGGGTGATCACAGCTCTGTGGGTCCTGTCAATGGGGTAGATCGCAGAAGTCAGTATGTCCAGAGGACCCCACACTTCTTCCTTGCCCAAGCATCCTGTATCTCATAGCCTCAGTACTTTGTACTTGGGTATCACTGCATTGAGATGGGTTCCATTCTGAGCACAGAACACTGTCCTAGAAGAGGCCGAGTGACATCATGCTCAAGACAACATCACCCCCGCTTACAATACACACAGGGTTAATGCTTAAATTCTCACATTGATCTTGTATTCACCGAGAAATACACACAACTGTCCCAGGATTAATGAAGACCATAGGGTCACCTCCTAAGTCCATGTGGGATGTTCACAGGTTCGTTTTCAGGAGGAAATTTGGGTTCCAGAAAGGATGCTAAAATGAGAAGCCCACAACAGTCATTGTGTGTGTGTGCGCGCGCACACGTGCATGTGTGAGAGAGAAAGCTTGCACACCCCTGTAAAGAGAAAAGTTGGAATAACTTATATAAGACCCCTCTCAACAGACTAAACGGCAGAGAGGTAAAAAGGCGCGTGGAAAGGAGTCCTTTAGACTGCATCATCAGGAGAGATCTGAAGCGGGTGACATCTGAGCTGAAATCCCAGTGACAAAAGAGACCTGGCCACGGAGAAAAACAAGGCAAAGGGTCCCAGGCATCAGAGTGCGAAGGCCCTCTGGTAGAGTGGAATCAAGCGCCTGAAGGGCCGAGAGGAGGATCTGTGGCCCCACTGTGTGACAAGTGGCTGCTGGAAGAGGGAACAAGCTTGGACATGGACCGACAGGATTCGCTCCAGCTGAGGGCCCACGACTTTTGAACAGTGAGAGCTGACCACTTGCCTACTGGCTGACCTGTTCCTCACTAGCTTTCTCACTCACCCACTCAGTCTTTTACCTATTCGCTCACTCATTCATTCCCTCCTTCACTCACTCATTCATCTGTTCCTTATTAAATACCTACTACGTGCCTAATGTGTCCTCTAGGCCATGGTCAATGGTGAGATAAACAAAGCCCAGATACTTTTGCCCCTGAGGGCCACTGGCTCAGCAAACTGTAATGGGTAGTGGGGAGGGGGGGGAAAGAACCTGGAAGAGCCACCTGAGATGGCAGGTGGAAGTCTGTGAAAAGGAGAGAGCGTCCTACGTGGTGGCTGTGAATGTCAGGAGGACTTGTACTTTGGGGTAAACACTGATCCAGGGACATCTGAGGTTCCACCAAACCTTGAGGTGTGGTGATTCAGTACAGCAAGACAGCACCCCAGGCTTGGACATGAGACCAGCCTTCAGCCTCAGGGCATCATCAGAAGGAGGAGCATCTGTGTGAGCAGACCATGGTGGAGGCTCAGGCAGGAAGGCAACCACACAATGCAGAGGGAGAAGCCCTGGGGTACCAGGAAATGAGGCCAAAAATGGGGACAGTAATCTATGCCCTACTTAGTACCAGACCCTAGTGAAGACAGTTCCTTCACAAGAGAACGCAGCCTGACGGGAGACTGGCATAGATGCCTGCCCTTGGCACCATTTGCTCCACCAGACCACAAGGTCATGAATCTCAATGGGGACGCACGGGGTGGCCTTGTCCCCGGCCTCTCTCAGGCTTTTCTCACCACGATACTCAAATGAAAACCCCAGCAGACCTGAGCTGCTGACAGGTGGAAAGCAGCCAGGAGCTCACATCTGGAATCCCAGCACTTTGGAAGGTGAGGCAGGAGGTGCGCCATGAGTTCCAGAATAGCTTGACCTAAATGGTGAGTTCCAGGCCATTCTGAGCTACAGTATGAGACCTTGTCTCAGAAACAATGAAAGGGAAGGGGAAAGAAAGAAAAGAAGGCAGGAAGAGAGGAAAAGGGGGATGAGGAAAGGAAAAAAGGGGGAGGGGAGAAGGGAAGGAGGAGGGAGAGGAGGGGGAGGGAGGAAGAGGAGGGGGGAGGGAAGAGAGAAGGGAGGGAGGGAGGAAGGGAAGGAAAGGGGGCGGAAAGAAGGGAAGGGGGAGGGAGGAAGAGGAGGAGAGAGGGAGGAAGGGAAGGAGGGAGGGAAGAAGGGAGGAGGGAGCGAGGAAGGGAAGGAGGGAGGGAGGAAAGAGAGAGAAAGAAAACAACAAAGGAAGGCAGGCACCCGGAAATACAGATTTGGGGACTCTGTCCCACTTTTCTCTTCCACACTGCCAACCTCAGCCCAGCCACCACCACTTCCTGCCAGGGGACAGCTTCCTGGCAGGCTCTTGCTCCCAGGCTGGTCCCTCCCTTCTCCACACAGCAGCCAGAATTCCTAGAAAGAGGATGACGTCATCCCCTTGCCTCAAGCCACCTGGTCTCTCACTGTACTACTCCAAGGAAGCAGCCAAGCCCTTCACAAGACAGACAGACTATTCCGTGATGTCTAGCCCTGCCTGCCTCTCCTAGCTGTCCCTCCAAACTTGAGCCCTTCCGTGTCATGCCTGAACTCCCTGCTGACCACTATGGCTGGGGCCACCTTAGGTGCCCAGAGAGAGGGAATGAACAAGCTGGGTCGACTGGAGTTTCAGCTGCGCTCTCCTCCGTGTTTTCCTAGGCTGTTCATTTTCACCAGCTCTTCCAGTGTTCCCCTGAATGCCACCTCCAGCGTGGTCACTGAATGCTTGGCTCAGCTCGGGGTCTGGACACGACTGGGTGCTGGGGATTAGTGCTTGCAGCTCCTAGGACAGAGGCACACCAACCTCCATAGTGACAGTGATAGGGACACGGGTGGGGGGCAGAGCATGGAGTTCAAGGAGAATCATGTGGGAGCACTCAAGAGGCCCCTGCCCTAGAAACCCACCATGTAGGAGGTAGCCCAGTGTCCTAGGATGGAGAATTGGCAGGTTGAAGCATGCCATCCCAGAAGCTTGTACTTCGGGCACCTGCCCGGACTGGCCTCCCCTTGGGCAGCTGTCACACCCAGAATGTTATTGGTCCCTAAGATGCACGTGTATCTTTACCCTCACTTGTGACCATACAGTCAGGCTCATCCAGGCAGTGGTGACATTAGGAGCCTGAAGGGGCCTCGAAGACCTCAGGACTGGTGTCCTTAAGTAAGGCACAGAGACACACACAGAACAGTTCAAGCCCCAGAGAAACCACTCACAGGAAAGTATGAACAGGATAGGTCCTAAACAAGCTAACCCAGGTCAACTTAAGGAGACTCCCCTCTGAGGCAGCAGGTTTGAAGACATTTCCCTGGGCAACAGACAGCATTTTTCTGCCAAATGATGGAAATCAAACGTAAGATTCATGGTTCCCACCCAGCCTCAAATACAAGGCCTCAAAATTTAAGTCTCTACCCTGTCTACTCCATCAGGTCCTTAATTCCTGTATTCAAGTATCTGGTCTGCACTGAGCTCCAAACAGTGTTGGTGTGAATCTCAGAGTGTGAATGAACAGAAGTTCTTGCTATGGGGCCACCCTTCAGAATCATCTGTCCATAGGTAGTTCAGGAAACAGGCCCCCAAAGAGCAAGAGGCCCCAGAGTGGTGGCCACACTCAAAATCAGTTTCTGATTCTCCAGGCAACACTCTCTCCACCTTACTTCTGGCCCAC